TTCCTGCTCAGGACCAGGAGTCCAGACCCCCAGCTCCGTGCTACTTAAGACCCCAGGAATCTAGGCCCCCAGCCCTCTCTTCCCACAAGACTCAGGATTGTGGACCCCAGCACTCACCGCGGGTGCCATTGAAGAAGAGGGTCTGCCGGGCTGGGTTCTGAATGACAACTATGGAGCCATCGTACTGGTGCAGACGGCAGGTTATCTCGGCCACGCCACCCTCAGCCACTGTCACATTCTCTGTCTGTACTTCCTGTCCTGCCCCTGGACCAGTAGACAGAGAGACAGGGTAGGAGACTCTTCGAGGGCTGCAAGTCGATCTTTTTCCCTCTCTTCCTCTCCCACTCAGACCTCCAATCCCTCTCATTCAGTTCATCACACCCAACCTTTCCCACAGGCTGGGGTCCAGGAGATGGACTCTAATGGGGCAACGCAGGGCACACTGGGAACTCGGAGCAAAGAGAGACCAAGACGGCCTAGGGAGATGGATGATCAGAGAAGGTTCTGGAAGAAAGCTTCATTGGATTCAGATCTTGAGTAAATAGGAATTCACCAGGTATGGGAAACTGCTCTGTGTTCACCAAACCCCATCTTTCACACCTGGGCACATGTTGTAGCTTGTCTGCATGGATAGCCTCAGGAGTCTTCCCATCCCTGTACATGACCTTGGTAAGGTGATTTTGCTGCCCCCTCTATTAAGAAGCCACTCTGTCCTTTGACTCTGGGAAGGACTTGTGACTTCTTTGATGAATAGAATTTGCTAGAAGTGATATTGGATGAGTTCTGGAGCCTCGGCCTCAAGGAACCTTGCTTCCCTGAGACTTATCAGGTGAAGACGCACAGACTAGTTTCCTTGAGGACGAAGGACCACATGGAGAGAGAAGCCCAGCCAGCCTCCAGCACCAATCGCCAGCCATATGAGTGAGGCCATCCTGGACCATCCAGCCCCAGTGAGACCACTAGGTGAATGCAGCCACATGAGTGACCCCGGTAGGGACCAAGAGAAGAACTGTCCAAGTGATCCAGTCCAAACTGCTGACCCCCAGAGTCATGAGCAAATAACATGATTGTTTAAAGCCACTGAGTCTGGGTGGTCTGTTAACACCACTAATTTGGGTACAACAGTACCGGTTAGTACTACACCCAATTAGGCTACTTTTCCCAGGACCCTTGTACTTAAGTGAGGTCAAGTGATCGAATTCTGGTCAATGGGATGTAGGTGGAAGAGAGAAACACTTCTTCCAGCCTGGCTCATCACACTCACATCCTTCTTGCTGGCTGAATGAAGAGGACTACAGGGAGCCTAGAGTAGAACCGGATCACAAGCTGGAAGGAGTCCAGGGGCCTGACTCACTACCCCCTGTGACTTGCCTGCCCAGGACTGTAATGTGAGCCAGAACTACACTTTTCTGTTAAGCCTTTGAGATTTCATGGCTGTTTGTTACAGCAGTTAACCTACCCTGATTAATCCATCAGAAGAACAAGATAGGCGATCAGTAAGGGGGTGTTTCCAGCAGAGGAAATAGCCTAGAATAAAGCTCGAAGCTGAGATTAATCATCATCGGCATCACCAGCATCATCGTCACTGTCATCTTCAAAATATCAATCACCACAATAGCTGTTCATTAGGCACTTGTTTGTGCCAGGCTCTGTGCTCAGGACATTACCTATATAATTTCCATGTAATCATCACAATATCCAAATAAGGTAGACGCTATTATCAATCCTCAATTTTTTTAACAATTCCTATTTCATAGGTGAGAAAATTTGTCCAGAGAGAGAAAACGACTTGCCCAAGGTCACAGCCTGAGAGTCGTAGAGCGAGGATCTGCATCCGAATCTCTCTGATTCTGTATCCTGTGTCTACATTCACTCGTGGCTATCTGGGTGCAAAGCGTTCAGCATTGGTGAGGGGGTGTGGGATGTGCTAGTTGAGGGCCTCAGATGCCAAGCTAGGAGATTAGCTTTTATTCTGAAAGCCAGTGGAGGTTTTGAAGCACAAAAAAAGCCATGATCAATCAGATCTGGTTATTTACCTTTAAATATTGGATAACTATTACTCGATGTCTCTTACAGTCTGTCTCATTCATTCATTTGAGTATTTCTTGAACAGTGGGTAGGTTTTCTGGGGCTGGGTGCCCAGAGATGAGTCAGATGAGATCCCTGTCCTGGAAGGCCTTCGTGATTTATGGGCAAAATCACTGTAATATCCCATCCAAAGTGTTACGTTTTCTGTAAGAAGGATGGGTAACCTGGGGCTGAGGGGTGGAAAAGATTAATTCTGGGGGATGGAGGCAGAGACGGGTCGCTTCCTACCCCAATGTCCATGCTTCCCTTTCTCCTTAGCAAAAAAAAACAAAACAAAAAAAAAACAAACCACTGATTGTATTTTATGCTTGCCCTATGTTTAGCAGAATAAGTTGCCCTATTTCCCAGACTTTCTTACAGCTAAGTGAGGCCATGTGATAAAGTTTTGTCTAATTGGATATAAGAAAAAATGTCATGTGGTAATTTGGGGAGGGTTTCCTAAAAAGGGAGAACAAGTCTCTGGTCCACCAAGTCACTTTTGTGCTGCCTGGAACTGGGATGTGATGCCTGGAGTTCTGGCAGCCGTGTTGGACCACAAGGACAAGGGCAGTAGGGATGGCGGACCCAAGAACTGGAAGATGCCTGGGTCTCTGCTAATGATGCGGAGCTGTCATAAAAGCCCTGGATGCATACTGCTGGACTTCTTTCATGTTTGAGTATAACTCTTTTAAAACCACGATTAGGGGTTTATCTAGCACCTCCCAGAATGTCAATCTTTGCCCCAAACATTTTCCTTTCCATGTTTTCTCAATCTCAGTAAATGTCACAACGATCTGTCCAGTTGGTCAGGCCAAAAACCTAGAAGCTATCCAAGTTCTCACACTTTCCCTCACTTCTAACTTCCATTCCATTGGCCAGATGGATTTTCCCAAATGGTAAATCAGCCAGATGGATTTTCCAGAAAGGGAAATCAGATCAAATCACCTCTCTGCTGAAAGCCCTCCAAAGGCTGCCCGTGACACTTAGAATAAAATCTATACTCTTCCCCTGGGCCTTCCAGGTGCTATGCGGCCTGACCCCTCTCTGGCTGCAGGCACCCTCACTTCACTCCAGCCTCGCTGGCCTTGACGTCTCTTGAACACGCTGAGCTCGTTCCCACTTCAGGAACTTTGCACTTGCTCTTCCCTCTGCCTGGAATATCTTTCCCCCTCGATCATCTCAGGACTGCCTCCGGTCTCTGCTCATACCAACCGACATCTTCTAGGAGCGACTTTCTTTCGCTCCCCGGCCCTTTGCCTCCAAAACACTTTCCGTTTCATCACCATTGTTTTATTTCCTCTATGGAAATTTCATTGAAATTCCGTTATTAATTTGCTCACTTCTTTATTGTCTGTCCCCCATCACTAGAATATATACCCCATGAAGCAGGAATATAAGCTGCTGGGCTTACTGCTGTACCCCGGTGCCTATAAATGTGCCTGGCACTTGATAAACGTCTGGGAGATTGACGAATGAATGGCATGTGTCAGGCCGGATCTCATTTCAACCTCACAATGACTTCGTGCCATCGCTATTCTTATCTTAGACACCTGGGTGGATCCCAGCTAAACCACTTGCCATCTGTGTGACCTTGGGCAAGTAGCCTAAACTTTTCTGAGCCCCAGATGCCCTGCCTGTAGAATGGGGACGATGCCTCATAGGAGTTCAAGACTCCAGCCCCCTCCTCCCTTAGACCAGGAGCTCAGGGAGCCCTCTCTGCAAAGCTGCCATTATTATAACCTCCAGGAGCTTGTCCATGCACATGAAAACTGAACTAACTGCTCATGCAGGCACGTTAAAAAAACATCGTGAAGGCTATCCACGGATCCTGGACCTCAGGGCTAGCCCAGTGCTAGCCCCCCATTTTACAGATGTGGAGAATGAGGCTCAGGAGTCCCAAGAAAGTCAGTGGTAGGAACTCGACATCTCCAAAGAGCCATCAGGACCTCTGGATCTGCCCCCACCAAATTTATCTCCTGCCCTCTGCTTGAGGGTGCATATGGGGTGAGGGTGGGGGGCTTTTGTCTTATTTCCTCCCCCTCCTGAGGAGTCAGTAACCAACAGTGTCTGTGCCTGGAATATTAATGTCCCAGGAGCTTTTGTTTCGGGGTTGGGGGGTGGTGAGGCTGGACTTTCTGGTCAGAGAGGGGTTGAGCTTTTGGGACCAGGGCACTGGCCCTTTAAACTGTGTTGACAGCCTGGAATCGTCATGGGGATGGTGCCTGGAAAAAGGGGCAGGAGAGGGTTTGGGAAAGAAAGTGCCATTTTTATCACATCATATCAAGGGTACATACTATCAACATAACTAATCACAGTTGATGTTGACCTTGGTCACCTGGCTGTTCGACCACACAGTGCTGTAGTGAATGAATGTCCTTGTGTTTGGAGCTTTGCGCATTGAAGTTGTGTTTCTGGCTGAGCAGGTGATATGTAGAGACCCAGAATCCAGCCCCGACTGCCTCCTCTCCCAGAATCCAGGCGTCCAGGCTCCTAGCGCCCTCCTTCATCAGGACCCAGGCATCTGGGTTCTTAGCATCCTCTTCCCTCAGACCCAAAAGTCCCCAGCCCCCAGGCTCTCCCCCCTCAAACCCAGGACTCTGGGCCTTCAGCCCCCTCCTCTTTCAGGACCCAGGAGCCAGGGGTCCAGAGTACACAGCTGGTGGATGTTTCCACGGAGACTAAGCGGGGTGGGGGAGCACTTCCTGGGTCCTGAGTCAGCGAATACCCAAGGGAGTCTCAAGGTCATGGTTCCGAGAAGGTCACAGCCACCCCCTCTGGGGCTCGTGGCATCATGCCTCCGGCCCCCACTTCCTCCCCTAGAGAGGTGGTACATCCCTGCGTTCTGACTGAACCCCCCCTCAGCCCCCCATCAATGGCGGAGTCCGAACATCCTTGCACAAAGCATCAATTCTTCCCCAGCTCAGCCTTGTGAAGGCGCCTGTATTCAGGACCTAGGCGTCAGGGTCCTAGCCCCTCCTCCCTCAGAACCTGAAGTAAGACCCCCAGCCCCTTCCTCTCTCAGGACTCAGGAGTCTGTATCCCCATCTCTCCCTCGAGACCTAGGAATATGGATCTCCAGCTGCCTCCTCCCTCAGACCCAGGAGTCCAGGCCCCAGCCCCTCTTCCCCCAGACCCAGGAGTCCAGGCCCCCAGCCCACTCCTCCCTCAGACCCAGGCGTCCGGGCCCCCCAGTCCCATCCTCCCCCAGACCCAAGAGTCCGGGCTCCCAGCCCCTTGCTCTCCTGGAAATTTTTGACTCCAGGTCCACAATCCTCAACCCCAAAACCACGGTCCTGCCTTCCCCTAGCCCTCTGTCCCTCTCCTATCCGGGACCACGCATCAGGTGGGGGCATAGGGGTGAGTCAGCAGCCTCACACACAAAGTCTCTCCTGTGGCCCCCACGTTCCCGGGATATTCGGAACTCCATGGATTCCGGGCCTCGGGCCCAGCCAGGGGGTGGGGGAGTCCTCTGGAGGTTCCCCTGGGTGTGGGGTCAGGGGAGGAATTCCTGCTCCGGGAAGGGTGCGAGCCTGCACTGAGCGCTCACTGTCCCGGCCTCCACCCCCAGTGCCCTCCATTCACCCCCTCCCAGAAGAGCCCAGGCTCTGTTGCTGCCCTCTCGCCCCATCGGCTGCCTGCAGAGGAGACTTGGTGTCTGGTTCCCAGAGGACCTAGGAGCCTGGGGTCTGCACGGGCGGGAACCAGTGGGTGCTTGGGTCTTGGTGCCACAGGCCATTGGGCGCTGGCGAGTCTGACTGTCTCCGAGTCCCCCCCGCCCCACCCAGAGAGAGAAAGCTGCCTTTGTGTTTCCTAAGACGGGGACAGGCCAGGCTCGCACGACATTAACCCACCCAGGCCCCAGCCCTGCTGGCTCTAAGGTCTTGGAATCCACTGCAGAATCTGACCCCAGCCCTGGGGACTCAGGCCTCCGGCTCATGGGTGGGTGGGGGTCAGAGATAGAAACCTCCCAAGAGCTGCACCCTGGGGTTACGCACTTTAGGGGGAAGGCCCCCTGTTCTCAGAGTGGCTGGTCATAACTTTAGCAGGAAAAAGTGAGTCACTTGGGAGGAAAACATTATTTGAGATCCACAAGCTTCCCCTCCGCAAAGCCCCCAACTCTAACAGCCTCTCTCTCTTTTCTTTGTATCTGAATATCCGTTTCCCCAGCCCCTTTCTGTTCCATCCGATTCCTGGCCTGTGCGTGTCTGTGTCTGCCTACAAGCAGCCCATCCCTCTCCTTCTCACTTCCTCCCGCCTGCCCACCCTGGACCCACTTCTTTCTTTTGGCATAAATCGTATCATCTTCTGCTATTCGTGGCGGATGACTGAGCCAGGAAAGACAGAATGTTTTTGAAAGGACATAAGTGGACGCCATCTCCCATCTCCACTCCTGCTGGCTGGGCAAGGTGAGAGAGAAAGGAGGGTGACTGAGAGGGAAATGTGAGGACCACAGACAACCCCTGAAATTTGGCGGCCAGGGCCTTTCAGAAATGCCCAATGGAAAGGAATGCAGGCAGCAGCCTCGGAGATCCGGCTCCCTTGCCCCACGCTTTGCAGAAAGGGAGAGTGAGGCTCAGAGAGGGACGGGCTGACACAAAATCACACCAGAGAGCCCTGGTTCCTTGGCTCCCAGTCCAGAATGCGTCCCATGATACCAGCTCTCTCCCGACCTGTAAAGCCCCATACTTGCTCCGTTTCATTTAGAAAAAGTTTACAGACGGAATTAGGATGCCAGGAAGCAGTGACTCTAAACAAGAGACAAACCTGTCAAGCTACCTCCCAGAAGTGCTGGAGGAAAGATTCTTGCACTGGGTAGGTGGTCATCTTAGGCTATCTTCTGATTCTGACACTGCAATGTCCCACAATTCTAAGCTGTCAAGATTCTAGATGGCAGAGGTGTCAAGATTCAGGACATCCAAGAGGCCAAGATTTCAGAATTTTAAAGTTGTCACAGGCTAGAGTACTAACGGCATCGAGGTTCTAAAATTTTAAAAGTGTCAAGATTCTTAAGACGTTGGGCTTCTAGAATCCTAAAGATGTCAACGTTCCAAAATATCCTCACGTTCTCTGTTTACGGGGATCGTTGGCTCTAGAATTCTATGAGGCTGCTTTTCAGGGCCTACAAGATGAAGAAAGGAACATAAAATTGGACAGAAACGTAGCTGAGGTACCAAGGCGCTCTTCTGGAAAGTGGCGTGTCTGTCGCAAAGAAAGGCAGTAATGAAGCGTGCTCTGGAGCAACGGCAGAAGGCTACGGAATAAAGCAAGGTGGAGGGTAAAAGGTCAGCTCTGCCGCTCACCTTGTCCCAAGGAGACGGGGGCTCTGTCTCAGACCCTGAGGTGCAGAAGGATCGACAGCCCCCTACTTGCCAGAAACCTTTTCAGGGGTTCACGCTGGAGTTCCTATTCTTTCAGATCGCTGAGTTCAACACCCTCACTTTACAGAGAGTGAAACTAAGCCCCAGAGAGAGGACGACTTGCAATCAGCTGCTGTGGCAAATGGCAAGAGCCAGGATTTACACCCAGGCCCCCATCCCTGTGCCATCTGCTTACACTCCTCTTGGAATCTACAGGACGTACAACCCTCCCACTTCTGCCTGGCACCCCAATCCTCCGTTCTTCTCGAGAGTGGCTTTATCCACCAGGAAGGGGGTGACCTGTGGCAGGTTTGAGGCACACACAGTGTAAGAGTGCGAGTGTGTGGGTGACATTTCCTGACCTTGTCCCCAATCTCAGGGTCACCCAATCGTAGAGGTCTCCAGCTTCTGACAGTGCGTGATGATGGTATATGGATGGCTCCCTGGCTGTTCTGTAGGGGGGGCTGGTAAGTCATGGCCTGAGTGTGTGAATGGGTGGGGAGGGACAGCGTTTGGGAGGCATCTGCTGAATCCACGTGTGTGCCCACATGCGAGGTTTGCCAAACAGTACCCCCCACCACACACACACACACACACATTCTCCTCGGGGGCCCTTTAGAATGCCCTGGCTGACTCAATTCCTGTCCAGGGACACATAGGGATAGAGAGGTAAAGGAATGTAGGAGGGAGACGGGGATCCCAGGATGGAGATGGTAAGGGCAGAGAGGGAAGGTACGGAGATCGGGGACAGGAGACAGTGGGACAGAAAGAGGTGATCGGGGGCAAATGAGAGAGATGGGTGACAGAGGGGAGTAGAGAAACGGGGGTGACAGAAGGATGGGGACAGAGAAACAAGGGAATGGGACGGATGGGGGAAAGAGAAAGAGACAGAGGAAAGAGAAAGAGAAACGAGGGTGACAACAAGATAGGGCAGAGAGAGAGGGCAGAAATACAGAGGGACAGAGAAAGGGGAATAGAGAGGGGATGATGGGGGACAGTAACCCACTGCAAAGGTACGGAGACCAGGGGACAGAGGTGGGGGACAAAGACAGGACAGAGAGGTGGGGGACAGGGAGGCAAGGAGAAAGAGGGACAGACAGAGGGAGGGCAGGACTTCGAGATTGAGGGACAGAGGACACGGATAGGGGGACAAGGAGAGAGACTGAGGGACTCAGAGACAGGCAGACAGAGGGATGCAGAAAGCGGACAGAAGGACAGTGGGACGGGCCGGGAGAAGGCGGGCTAGAGGGGTGGGGGGGTCTCGGGCCCTTTGTCCCCGCCGGG